GCATTCCTGTAGAACTGAGCCCCTGAGCTGGTGGGGCCTAGTGCTAACTCCAGGCGGACAGTGTCTGAATTAAACTGAATTGCTGGGCATCCACTGGGTGTCCATGAATTGGAGAATTAGTTGCTGTGAGGAAAAATCCTACATTTAGTGCCAGAAAGATTCCGATGTCCATGGACTTTTAGGGGCCTCTTGGAAATGGTCAGAACTGAGAAGGTTAATTGCGAGACTACCAAGGGTGTGGATGATGCTCTCAAAAGCTTTGTCATTACTGGCATTTCTGTACTTACTCTCATGTACTTCAGGTACCGGATGCCTGAGGAGCACCAGGGAGGGCAGCTGCTGACCGTTCGCTCCCTGACATGGGCAGCCTTGAGGGCCACATGGCGTGGAAGCCCATTTTGTTTTCCTTGTGCTTACAGAACACATTTAACATCACCGCCAAGAAAGCTGCTCTGGATGTCTTTCTACCAGATGGGAGGAGTATTCAAGTCACAGTTCTAACATCCGATACTGCTGAAAGAGTCCTAGAGGTAACTAGATTTCACTTCAGCCCCAGACCCGAGAATCAGGGACTAGGATATGGTTACCTTCTGGAGGCTTCCTGCCTGCTGTTTTGCTTGTTGGATAACTTATCTGCAAAGGTGCTGGGGTTTCCTGGGAGACCGACCAAGGAACCTGAGGTGCAACCTCTTTGAGTTAACGCCCCCCCCTTCCTGTGGGCATCAGTGTTCCAGAGATCTCTTTGGGCCTTCCTTAAGGCGGCCATCACTTCCCTGGAACCTATCTAGGAATGTGCCCTGCAAATCGCCTTATGGAAAGCCCCATGCTTAGAAATAGGAAGGAGGACAAAGCCCAGCTGAGTCCAAAACAGGCCATACCCAAGTGGGAAGTGACAAGTCCTGGCAGTAGGTGACAGGGAACATTTTGAAGGCCTTTCTTACCCACGGGGAAAAGTCCTGAAGCCAATGTCTGTCAGGTCTAATTCTGGGTGTGGAGGCCAGACCTGAGTTTTAGTTAGTTCCCTCCCTGATGATGGCAAGAATGAAACCAGATGGCATCCTCCTTTCTCAGATATGGCTGTCACCAGCTCTGTCCCTCAGGCCTTTCTTCCATCCCCATGAGCTGGGTTGCAGAAGTGACACCACCTTCTAACACCCACACATTGCTCCTGAGGGCCAGCTCCCAGGCCCTTTTCCTTTGGAGTGTTTTAGTTCAAATCCTCCAGAGAGGAGAATAACACATTAGAAACATAAGGAAGTAAGAAGGTTTCTAAGACGTGTCAGAGGATAGCAAATTCTCACATGCTTGGTGCTGCATTAAGATTAGACTCATGGAACTAGCAGTTAGTGTAATGGCTATGTCGCTGGACTCCCACGTAGTCGACCACGGTTCGCGTCCCGGACACGGTGGCTTAAAACTCACACCAGGTACATGTGCGTGCGTGCCCAAGATCCCGAGAGGAGAATGGAGGAGAAGGGATTGAGGCGTGGCCATCCCCCCTGGGGGGTGATTTCTCGCTTTCTATCTCTCTGTCTCTCTCAGTCTGCCTGGCGAGTACACGCGCCCTATAGCAAAAACCTCTCCAAAAAAAAAAAAAAAGATTGGACTCATTTCATGAAAACAATAAGATTACATGCCATGACAGTAGGGATGAAAGGGAAAATAAAAGTCTCTTATCATTTATAAAGAGAAATCCAAATTGAGTGGACATGGGTCAAATTTACTCCAGGAAAATAAATCTTTGTCATCTCATCACCTAACTCCCTCTACACACGCACACGCACACACACACGCACACCACACTTACGGAAGAGTCCTGTGTCGGTTTGGGGTGTTTTACAAGGGCAAGGGGAAAAGAATCAAGGGCAGCGGGGATGTGCATTGAGTCAGAGTTGCGAAACTACTCCTCCGCTATCCATTGTTTCAAAGCTGTGCAGAGAACACCCAGTCATCGCACTCACCTAGTCAGACTGCCTCACGAGGGCATTTACAGATCTCTGACAATAAAAGGACCTCTTTGAACCTGGGATTTGTACAACTGCCATGGAGAGAACTGGGCGCCACGGTTAGAGCAAGGGCACGGTGCTGCAAAGGTGAATTCTTTCTGTAGAGATTATCTAGTGAGTGAAGACAGAGTGCAAGGAAATCAACCCAGAGCCCAGGCTCAAAGAGGGGCCAGGGTGCATAGGTGGGAGGGAGACAGCCTGGGGCAGTGAGGACGTCCCCGTGCAGGGAAGGTGAATGGATGGGCGACGTTGTGAGGTTGTAGCCTGATGACCCACTGGGAAAGACAGAATCACTGGTATTGAAATGAAAGCCGTTTGATGTAAAGGTCAGAGAGGAATATGAAGCGAAGGCGGCCTGTGTCTGGGATCTGAGGTTTTCACTGAGCTAACGCCACACATCAAAGAGAAGCAGGCCTGGGCCGTCAGAGAGGCCGTAGCGTGTGCATGTTTATAGCCAGCCAAACAGTAGGGAATGCCTTTCTGCTTAGCTGGCTGTCCGGCCCACGGAGGGTGAACAGGTACCAGGCCCCAGGAGCAGCTCTCACAGGACAGATGTTTGTGGAGAACGGCTGCTGCCCTCTAGGGGACAAGAGAGACCAGAGTGATCCAGGAGACACGTCCTCCTCCAAGACAGGGCAACCAGCCTTAACTGAGGCCAGTCTCAGTCCATTGCGGTGGGACCGATTTTTAGCTTCTTCGCTCTAACTTTTTTTTTTTTAAATGACTATGTGTCATTCTTGGATTCCAGAAAGATTTCTTTGAGTGGCCACTAGCCCATGAAAGGACACTTTCTTATTGTCAGAGAGCGTGTGCACTTGCCAGAGGGAGACAGAGAGAGAGGGAGAGAGAAAGAGAGCACGCGCACACACACACACACCCCATGGGGTATGGTCACATCACAATCCCTTCTCCATTCTCTATCCCATCAGGATTCTGACCCCACATGCACATGTGCCCAGCATGTTTTTCAAGCCACTGGGCCAGGATTCAAGCTGCAGTTGGCCATGTGAGGGCCATCTCCCCGTGCATAGCACATAGTCACTGCATTCCCCACTGTCTGAGTACATGCATTCACTAGAGAAACAGAGACAGAAATCAAAAAATCACCCCCGAAGGGGGATGGCCACACTGCAATCCCTTCTCCTTCATTCTCTTCTCAGGATTTTGGGCACACACACACATGTGACCAGTGTGAGTTTTAAGCCACCTGGCACTGGACTCGGACTGCAGTCGACCACGTGGGAGTCCAGCACCCTAACTACTATGCCACCTGCTGGCCCCTGTGCCTGCACTCATTATTGCTGTGTACAGGCCATTTCAGTTCTGTGTCAGTCAGGAAGCATGGTGGGCACGCCTAACCTTCCCCCGTTGCTTGTCTTTGTTTGAAGGTGGTATCACACAAGATTGGGCTGCGTCATGAGCTCTTGGGCTACTTTGGCCTCTTTCTCATGCAGTTCGGTGAGGAGGGCAAGCTCTCTGGTAAGAAGGAAAGAAGGTATGAGGGCAGTAAAGAGAAGGGGTGGGCAGGCACTCGGCCCTGGAGCCACAGCTGAGGGGCCAATCACTTTCTCAGGATGGGGCTCTATTACTGTTCTTAGCCCCCGGATCAGGGAGAGGGAGCGTACCACCTTATTCAGAGTGAGCTGGGAGCAGACAGCTCCAGAGAGGCAGCAAATCGGGAGCAAGCCCTCCGACTACTCCAGTAACTTCTTCAGTGCCTCCTCAGTCCCCATTTGATGCTCCTCTCACCTTCCCATCGCTGGGTCTGGCAGCTGGCCAGTAGCTTGTGAATGGAGCTCTAGACTGCGGGTGTCAGGATGCCCCACTGCAGCATAAATGCTCCTTACTAAAGAATATGCGTTATAATATGTGAGTTAAATAAATAAGCTCATAGATTTTTATTGTTAAAACTTTTATTTATTTATCTGTTGTGATTTTCAAGCCACCAGGTCAGGGACTGGAACCACGATCAACCATGTGGGAATCCAGAGCTTTAACCATTATGCCACCTGTTAGCCCAAGTTATAAGTTATTTAAAAAAAAAAAAAGCAGAGTGGGGATGGGATATGAGCTA